AGGATGAAGAAGCGGAGGCCTCCACGTCGAAGATCGAGGAGGTAAAAGATGAGCTGGCAGCGTAAGCAACAAACGCGTGTCGGCTAAGGACATAATTTCATTTAGTGGTGCGTCACAGAACCCCGCGGGTCGGACTAATGTACCGCATGTAGTATCTCGAGGCAATGACACAACTTTCACGCATTCACAAAATGAAATTACTCAGTCGCATAAAAAGAACGGTGTACAGGGGATTACCACCGTGCATGAAGAAGAACCCCACTCAAGATCCTTGGCCACCAGTGCGCAAGCACAAGCGGCGAAAGCTGCGCAAGGCGGCGGGATACTCGGGATCAACCTCACTCCATCGGGGGCAGATGACGGCGCGGGGAACAGAGGAAGAGCGGCTGAGCCCAAGGCGAGCAGAGAAGAACCCCACTCGGGGGCGGAATGTATGTGCCAGCCACAAGTGACCGGCTGCCCCCATCGTGGAACGGAGCCGCAAGAGGGAACGCGAATCCCCAGCAAGAAAACCGCTGCCCCGCAAAGAACAGTCCAGACGACCAGGGACCCCATCCCTTCACAGCCCTTTACGGTACGTCTACCCCCTTCGTCACTAACACATAATGGCACTGGGGGCCCGTGTTCTCCAGTGGGCAGGTCGGTGGGACCATTATGTGCACCTCCTATTTGCAATAAAAATATCGTTTCCCTTGAAGAAGTGCCCGATGAAGAAGACGACTACAGTTACCAACAGAGCCTCAAGGCACGAGGGGAAGACCCGGTGATTCACACCGAGGAGTACCCGGAAGACTACGAGACAATGGAACTAGAAGAGGAGTACTACAACGACAAGTGGGACCAAGGGTGGCTTAAACCCCACAGCGCGGAATGGGTAAGACGAAAGATGAGGCAAGAAAAGATGATGGAAGGAAGACTCGCTACCCTCAGGATGTGGGTACATCCCAGACGCATGATCGAGGTAGATGAGGATCTCGTCCTAGACCTCATCGGTTCCTCTTCCGAAACCTACAGACAGTGGGAAATGTGTCTACAAAACATGGAAGACCTTCGCACACCACCACAATACATTCGAGGAGGAAAATGGAGGAGTGTCAACATCCGTGTACAACTTGAAACCCTGGACACGAGCCAAGTACGAGCCGTAGACGCCTTGGTCGATAGCGGGTGTACTGGCAGCTGCATAAACCGAGCCTTCGTGCAGGAACACCAGCTAAACACAGTAAAACTACCCAAAACCCAGGCGGTGTACAATGCGGATGGCAGCAGGAATAAAGGAGGAGATATCACGGAAATAGTGGAACTACGCATGACCATCGGGGATCATCACGAAAAAATCGACTTGGCCGTCATGGACCTTGGGAATGTACCATTGTTCTTAGGACACGACTGGCTCAAGCGCCATAATCCAATCATAGACTGGAAAACGGGAGCAGTGACATTGGCCCGATGCGCGTGCCGCAAGATACCCTTTCGTTTGCCAGACGAAGATCCAGAGCAACAATGGGGAGCGGAGGTAGAGGAAGGGGACACAATTTTAGTGATAGACTTCGAAGAAGCCTTTCATGTGTGAGCAATGGGGAGTAAGGCGAATGAACTAGCCGCCAAAGCGAACCAAGCCAAGGAAACCAAAACGTTCGAAGAAATAGTCCCAGAGCCGTATTGGGAATTTCAGGATGTATTCGCAAAGGAAAACTTTGACGAATTACCGCCCCGAAAGCCATGGGATCACGCCATAGAGCTAGTCCCCAATGCGAACGCGAGCCTGGACTGCAAGGTCTATCCCCTCAACCCAGCCGAACAAGAGGAGCTGGATAAATTCCTTGACGAAAACCTGGAATCGGGAAGAATAAGACCTTCCAAATCCCCTATGGCTTCCCCATTCTTCTTCGTAAAGAAAAAAGATGGCAAGCTTAGACCCGTGCAGGACTATCGCAAGCTTAACGAGCTAACCATCAAAAACCGTTATCCACTCCCACTCATCGGAGAATTAATGGATCAGCTCAAAGATGCCAAATACTTCACCAAGCTGGACGTGCGATGGGGATATAATAACGTACGAATCAAAGGGGGAGACGAGTGGAAGGCCGCATTCCGAACGAACCGAGGACTGTTCGAACCAATGGTGATGTTCTTCGGACTCATAAACTCACCAGCCACTTTCAGTGGATGATGAACAATTTGTTCAAAGAACAGATCGCACGAGGAGATGTCACCGTATACCTAGATGACATCCTAATCTGCACCAAAGACGAGGACAAACATCGAGAGGTCGTACGGGAAGTGTTAGCCATCCTCAGGGCTAACAACCTATTCCTCAAGGCAGAAAAATGCGAATTCGAGGTGTTGGAAACTGAATATCTCGGAGTAATCATCAGTCAAGGTTCCATTCGCATGGACCTGGTCAAGGTTAAAGGAATTACGGAGTGGCCCCAACCTACCAAAAAGCGAGAGCTACAATCCTTCCTCGGATTCACCAATTTCTATCAAAGGTTCATCTGGGATTACAGCAAACACGTACGACCCTTAACGCAACTCACGGGAAAGGCGGAGTGGACATGGGGGACAGCACAAGAAAGGGCGTTCCAGGAAATCAAAAGGAAGCTAGCGGAAGAAGTAGTATTGGCGATACCCACACAAACAGGAAAATATCGTGTGGAAGCAGACACAAGCGAAGGAGCAATAGGAGCAGTTCTATCCCAAGAACAAGACGGAAAGTGGAGGCCGGTGGCATTCCTATCCAAAGCCTTAACGGTCACGGAACGGAACTATGAAATTTATGACAAAGAGCTCCTAGCAATCATGTTGGCCCTCGAGGACTGGAGGCACTATCTAATGGGCACTCATCAGGAATTTGAGATCTGGACGGATCATCAAAACCTGCAGTACTTCCGTAAACCCCAAAAGTTCAACCGAAGACAAGCACGGTGGGTAACCAAGTTAGCGGAATATCACTTCACGCTACATCACAAACCAGGGACAGCCAACAGGAAGGCAGACCTGCTATCCAGAAGGGCGGACCATGACCAAGGGGGAGAGGACAATATGGAAGTGGTAGTGCTCAAACCAGAGATGTTCCGAGCCTTGATCATGCCGGGAGAAGAAGAAATTCACAAACGCATCCGAACGGCGCTAAGGGATAATACCAAATGGGACAAGGGGATCGAGGCATCCATTCATCATCCCTGGGGAATAGTTCAAAAGGATGGACTAATGCATTATGACGGACGGCTATACGTTCCCCGAGACGCAAAACTACGAGGGGAGTTAATCACTATCCACCATGATCACATTACAGCTGGACACCCTGGAATTGAAAAGACCAAGGAGCTCGTACAAAGAGAGTACTGGTGGCCGAAGCTCAAAAACGACGTGGAACGCTATGTGAAAGGCTGTGAAGCTTGCCAACGGACCAAAACAAGCACTCAAAAGAAACGAGCACCTTTACATCCACATGCCGTACCCACACGACCATGGGAGCACATCACGGTGGACATGATCAGCGAATTACCTGACTCGAATGGGTACAATGCTATCCTCATGATCGTGGATCGATTTTCCAAAGAAGTCATCCCAGTACCATGCTCCATGGAATTAACCTCGGCGGGATGGGCCAAGATCCTTAGAGATCACGTCTGGGCCAAGCATGGGATGCCCCAGAAGGTAATCTCGGACAGGGGACCCCAATTTGTGTCCAAATTTATGAAAGAACTCTACGAAATGTTGCATATTCAAGGCAACCCGTCCACGGCATATCACCCACAAACCGATGGGCAAACAGAGAGGGCCAATCAAGAGATCGAAAAATACCTCCGTATTTTTATCAATCATCGACAAAATGATTGGAGCGAATGGCTGCCGCTCGCGGCGTTCCAACACAATAACCGAAAGCACTCCACGACGGGCTATTCCCCCTTTGAAATCAATCACGGGCAAAAACCCCATCTCGCTCCACTCACGATAAAAGAAGGAACAAACCCTGCAGCAAGGGACTTTGTAGCGGACATACAAAAAGTCCACGAGCAAACAGCTAAAGCTCTGGAGAAGGTGGCAGAGACTATGAAAAAACAATACGACAAGCACCAATGAACGGCGGTAGAGTACCAACCTGGAGACAAAGTCTGGTTGGACTCCACGAACCTGCATCTTCCTCGACCAATGAAGAAGTTAGGGGATAAATGCGTCGGACCATTCGAAGTGTTATCCAAACATGGCGCCTCCGCATATAAACTGCATCTTCCTTCTTCATGGAAGATCCATGATCGTTTTAATGAAAGTCTTCTCACCCCTTATCACCCGCCGGAGTTCCCAATCCAAATACAGCCCTTGCCTCCACCACCAGACCTCGTAGACGGACAAGAACAGTATGAAGTGGAGGAAATCGTAGACCGAAGGGAAAGAGCATGAGGAAGAGGACGAAGACGACGTACGGGGATCGAATACCTGGTCAAGTGGAAAGGGTATCCAAGAGAAGAAAATTCTTGGGTGGACGAACAAGACCTGGACAATGCGAGGGACGCAATTGAAGACTTCGAACAAGTCTCATTTATCACTCGACCTCCCGCTGAATGGTGGGAAGACCAAGACAAATCAGACTCATGGTCCGAACACGAATCTGTGACAGAGTCAGAAGTCGACCACCCCTTGGTACAGGCAATTCAAGAATACCTGGTAAAACCAAACGCACCTTCCCTGGTGGGCGCCTACCTCCCAAAACCAAACTATGTCACAGTCGGGACGACTGCCTTAACAGGGGGGTAATATTACGATTTTGCGTCTTATCTTATCTTATCGACCCCACCGTAATCCTGCTATGCTAATTCTCCAGACTTGATCGCATTCCACCATGAGGGTTCAGTACGTTTAACGCACCGTTGCAGACACTTGTAGTATATTTAGCACGACCCAAACTGTATTTAAGTAGCTCGACTGCAGGTCTTACACCTCAGTCTCGAACTAAAGTTTATTCACCCGATAACTTAGTCTGAACTCACTCTCGCTCAACTAAGCGATAGCTCCCTTAACGCAAACCTGCGGACAACATAAAGTGCCTGACCGAAGTGCGAGTCACGCTTAGTTGTTTGATCTTGTTTGTGAAATCGGTCGCTAACATTCTTCTTCCTATTGAGCTTCTGTTTACGTTCTGGTGAGGCTTTCTTCTTAGATTTACCAACTTTTAGAACATTGGCTAAGAAGCTATCAGCCAGAAGCTGATCTGTTGGACGAGTAGAGCCATGCCAGCTCCCATGATGACTGCTTAAGGGTGCTCTGGACTTGCCCTGAACCACCTCTTCCATCCGACGATCAAATGCGCTTGCCAGCGGCTCAAGATTATGAACATTCTTCTTCTTAGAAGTCCTTTTCTTTGATTTCATAGGCTTTTTCTGGTATTTTTTCGGTTCAGCATCCTCAGGATCTTCATCAGAAGTTTCCTCAACCTCGAGAACATCATACCGGCCAGTCTTACCAACCAGTTTCTTAGTTCGCGAAGCCTTGGACTTGCCAGAAGCTTTAGTCCGCTTAGAAGACTTTCTGACCTTTGCGAATCCATCCTCATGGTGCGTTTCAGGTTCAAGTTCATCCTGATGACCATCAAGTGATTCCTGGATCTCATCACGGACCTGGTTCCAGTTCTTGAGCGCCTCACATTGAGCCTCAATGTCCAATTCCGAATCATCAACTTCCTGGTTACGATCAGCAAATTTTCCCTTTGCAACATATGAGCTTGGGCCTGGTGTTGCATTATGGGTTTCAGGTGGGTTGCGAGCCTGCTTCTGAGCAACCTTATCCTGATGTTTTGCCAGGATTTCTCGCTGCTCGGCAGTCAGATTACGTTCTGCAGCCCTAACTGTAGAAGCTTGTTCCTTGGTGAGCTTCTTTGCTTTATGCTGCTCCTTAAAGCGAACTGCATTCCTACTCAGGTCATCCAGACTCTGAGTACGATGAAGCCTTGCAGGCCTTGCCGGTTGAAGAGGAGTAGGTTCCTCAGCATCAGTCTTACTAGATGCTTTCTCAGATTCCATGCTACTACTAGAACTAGATGTATCAGATTCATCATCATATTCTACATTACTACGAGACAAATTCTTCTTTGAAATACCCGCAGCAGTCAGATTCCCTTGGGAACTGACATCCTCATCATCCTCCAAGTCAGAAGGAGACGATTTCTCCTCCTCCGCTTGTACATGAGCAGAAGGAGGGTTCCTCAGCGTGGCGTTGCCAGACGCTGGAACACGGCTTGCAGCCGGACCAGGAGCAGAGCCCTGAGCACTCGCAGTGCTGGATTCTGCCGGGATTTTAGTATTATGGATATCTGGGGACAGCTCACCAGATAACTCGGATAAAGGACTCTCCACCCTTGGCAAGGCTGGCCCTGTTGCAACAGTGTTGCGGCGGCTGCGCAAGGCGTAACGAGACATCCTAATAGGTATACAGAAGATACAGTGTCGAAATCGGAGTGGCCTCGGGTGATCAAGCCTCGGTTTTCCAGAGATCGACGAAGAGAGAGAGAAAGAGATTTAAAGAAAAAAAAAGCGCAGATGTAGTTGAGAGAGAGATATAGAAATAAGCAGAGAAACAGCCAATGGAGCTGTCAAAAATATGAGAGGGTGGCGAAAGTCACGTACTCTCATGAAGGAGTTTCACGCAGTGTGTGACAGGTGTAAAGGCTGGTCGTTGCGAAAAACCCGAGCTACTACAGCAGTACGTAGCTCTTATATACTACTAGCTAATATCAAATAGATCCTATCGGGTGCGTCGAGAACGGTGGAGCGACAACGAGGGGGAGAAATGAAGGGTAAGGACCGGGCCAAAGGCCGGCTCGTTACACGTCACTTCCTCACGCAAAGGGAGGCTGGAGATTCTGTGCAGTGTGTCCTATTATCCGTGCGCTTAGGATTTTGGTGTGTATACATAGGAACTCAGGCCTGGCTGGGCCTGAACGGTTGAACCGGTCCTCTCTTTACGGAGAGAGAAGTTACCAATGTATATGCTTCAATTTATCGTGCTGATAGCTGAAGTCAGGTGGCCAAGCACATTGCTCCCTCCCTGAGTCCCTCCTCTCTGCCGTCTCAGCTGCGCTGTTCAAATGGTCATTTGATAATTTGATGCGCTTTGATACGTGCCTTTATCCGATATATCGCACAACTTGACAAACCTGAACGGTTAAACGTTAAATCGCAGGAAGATCCTTGGCAAATAAAAGGTATTGAACGTTAAAAGTGGCATCGGTCTTCTCTCCCTGTATGTCCGTCGTAGCGTCTTTTGTACTTGCATATAGGCGATTATCGGTTGTACCGGTGAAAATAAGCCGCTGTTGACTGTCGAGGCCAAGCTAGGCGATACCAAGTCTATTATGTAAACCGGGCGTAGTACGGTACGATGATCAATAACGTTTTGTTGCCGGCCCATGGATCCAATTGTATCTTCTTTTCTTTTCATTCTCTCAACAGCAAGTGGCCATTCTCTGGCAAGCCTTTCCTTTCCTATTACCCTCTTTCAACGTTTCAATCATGATGGCCACGAGTAGACCGTATCAACCCTCGTCGCCGTATTCCTTGCAGCATCCATCGCCGCTAGAAGCACTAGGCAGGCGCCAGAATATACCCCAGCCAGTCAGGCTTCCACCAGCTCATTCCTCGAATAGCTCTAGATTGAACCCCCAGTTCACATACCCTACTCAGAATCCTTCGGGTCCCAGTAATCACCTAACGACGCCCCCAAGACAGCAGCCGCAGCACCCCCGGCCATCACCTCACCCCTTCTTCGCCACTTCTCCACAGTCATTTCTCTCGCGGCTCTACAGCAACAAGGTCATCGAAAGATGACAACTCATACCTCGACTTTTCAGGCGACTCATCGCAAGGATATCCGGACGATTATCACTACTACGACGAGGAGAGCATATATTCTTCTGCCCCAGCCATTCGCGACTCGTGGGAATCCCATGGCACCTCACCTCACAAGCACCTGGCAAACGACGACGACGTATACGACGCCTATGCTGCGGGCCCAGACTCCCCTGTCCCGACCGTATTCGTTTCGCCAGTACCAGACGAACCCATTCGCCCTGCAGGCAAAACTCCCATCCTTCGCTCTGCAGTAACCAACAACTACTCGCGACCCGTTCGCCCATCTCTCTCCTCTGAAGAGTCCCCAGCTGAGCTGGAAGATCGGAAACGAAGAGTTCTCGAACGGAACGGGCGGAGTCCTAGTTCATCTTATTATTCCTCCCCTGCATCAAGCCCTTCACCGTCTCAATTCCCTGCACCGCCAGACCATTTCCAGAATAGTCGCCGTTCACTTTTGTCTCAGCTGGGATCAGGATCACGTTCGCCAAGCCCAACAGACACAATACATAGCCCAGCAGCAGTGCTGTCCAATCCCTATCCAAGCCCCAACATGCTCTCTGTACACCGTCCAGAAGCCATTTCACTCCCTCGTAAACCGCCATCTGTGCGTGCAGACTCTCCAGCGAGTCTGTACTCGACATATTCCTTCTATCAACTCGATAACGGAAGCTCAGGCTCAAGTCCTTCATCATCTCACTTCCCACCAGGAGCTCAATCACAACCCAACCCCGTCCCTCAGCCAACCAGCCAACCACCCCCTCCAACAACCACTCCAGCACCCAAATCCCAAGCCGACTATCTCCAACTAGGTATAACCCACCACGAAGCAAACAGACTGACCGAATCCGCCTCATGTTTCGAGAAGAGCGCCATGATCGACGGAGGCTGCGGAGTGGGGATGCTCATGTGGGGGTTGACACTGCGACATGGATGGGGGTGCCCGAAGAACGAGAAGACGGGGTTCAGCTGGCTGAGGAAAGCGGCTGAGCTTGCGCTAGGCGAACTCGAACATCAGCAGGGTATGAGCGGGAAAGAAGAGATCAAGAGTGAGCTGGTCCTCGCGATATATGAAGTTGGGCAGTGTTTCTTTCATGGTTGGGGAGTGGCTAAGGACCAGAAGATGGCTGTGGTGTGTTCTTTTCTTTCTTTTTTGTCGTCGGATGTTGATCGCGGACAATAGAACTACTATACAACTGCTGCCCGGTTAGGAGACCCTGATGCTCAGAGTGATTTGGCGTTCTGTTTGGCCAACGGGAAGGGATGCAAGAAGGACAGGAAGGAGGCGGCGAGGTGGTATAGGAAGGCTGTGAGTCTCTTGCATCTTCTTTTTATACTTTTTTCATTCAACTAACCTTCGCGACAGGTCGCCCAAGGACAGAGCGATATCGGCCTAGCGTGGATTTACAAGGAAAAGTTTCAGTAGCGCTTGCTAGTTATATTATTATTGCATGTGTGTACCCCTGGAACATTCTCTTTTCTTTTTGTCTTCTTGCTGCAATGTAATATTTCCGTGCATGGATACTGCTTATACACACCTTCACTTTCAGTACGCGAATGTAGTTCGATTGTCTGAAAAACTTTCGGCAACGTACTAGTCTCATAAGCCTGATTCAATTCCACATATAACCTGGACTTGGGCCGACTTCAGGGTGCATAGCCGCACCTCTGCAGGTGAAAGAGCCTGGCTTGGAAGATAACAAGGTGGGCTTCATTTGCACTTGACTGCGCAGTCTGGATATTTGATTTTCAGACACCTTTTTACTCGAACTTTTATGCATGTCCCGTTTTGCCTGTTGAAGTCATCGAGCTCATCTCAGCGACCTTATTCGACAAGGAACGCCTTTTGTTCATGCGATCATCCCTTTACGTATGCCAGACTTAGCGCCTCACGGGGTCTTTGATAGTAATTTGCTATTGTTTACCCGAGCTTGTATATAGCGGAGTCGACCAATACAACAGTCTTACAGTCTTCTCGCTTATATTCTGTCAATTCCTTACTTGGACTACATCCTTTGCCTCTCGTTGAAGCAGCCCACCCTTACCTTGCGGTTTATCTCATCAGCCACTGTCGGTCCATTGCTATGCATCCGGGGTCTATTGCGGTGGACCGTTTTAAAGCCTTCCTCATGTCCGACAAGTATACAATACATCCACATCCTCACCTGCGTCTTCCCCCCACATGTCAAACAGCTCGACATGCTCTTCGCGTATAACACCCCCGAAAAGCCCTTCCAACAAGAGCCATGCCATCAATTTGACATTATTACCGGTCAGGGTTTTACTCGCTCAACTCCCCTAATCGGTTCAAGGCTCGAAATGCCATATATCTGCAATGGCCATACTTACTATCGAGCTCCTTTCTGCCCTGGAGAAGGTGGGATTTGATGCTGCGAGTGTTTGACCAACGGAAAGCTACATATTGGGATCATGCTATTGATCATTCGGAATCTCATCGCTGTTGGGTATGGTCCAGTATTGCCTGTCTTATCAATACGACCAATAAAACCAGCTCATCTCGCATTCGCCTTCTGCATCACGAACTGTTCAGTGGCGCTGACTAGCGCTCAGGGATTCAACATTAACAACGACAGAGTTCTTTCGGGAGATCCGCTTCGTGAACGCGAACTGACGTGACTACTAGAGTATTTGTTCTCCACGATTTCTATTTCCATCCTCGTAACCATCCTTCTAGATAAAACAGCTTTACAGTATTCTGCGGCGCCTTCAAATTTTCCGTGATCTTCTCAGAAGAAAAGCTGGTTAGTCTATGGACTACCCGGTGTCGTGATACAAAAATTCGGTGCTCTCTTGCCTGACTGTTTTGTCCTTAGGCAACCTATATCCTGGCGCGACGCTATCGATCTCGTCTCGCAAAGTTCATTGGGATATTCAAGGCTATTCGAGAGCGAGTTTATTCCCCCCTTTCCTTTGTAAGTTATCGCCCGCAAGCTTCTGTGATGGTGATGCCGATGTTTAGGCAAGAATTAAAACGGGGAACTTGAGAAGTGCCAAAAATCCGGCGTTTCGTTTGTCCCAAAACCTTCAAGTTTATCTACGTAGCAGGAATGACGTTGGCATTTGACAGTGAGTCTATTCTACTTGAGCCTCATATCTGAAAGGTTTAAGATTCGTTTACAGATGCTCCAGAAGAATCTCACTGAGCTGGCTGTGCGGAATCAAACTTAAACAGATCGATATCAATACTTGAGACGGTCATGAACACGTACCCAGGCTGTTAACGCGTCCGATTGCGGTCAGATTAGACACCGTCGAATGCGCAAGACACATAAGCAATATAAACATCATAAATGATTGTATACCAACTGGTTCAATGTGTTTCGTAATGACGCTGGGAATGCCGCCGAGTGAGTGTGCTATACTCGCAAACACCGCTGCCAAGGATCTTCAGCTGATGCATATCCTGAAGATTAGAGGTCTAATTCCTCCTACTTTATGTACCATAAGCTCGGAGGACCATCAAGCCCGGAAACCACCTGTACAAAGCTAACCCCTTGGCATGGCGGTAGTGCCGTGACCGTCATGATCACCCGACTCTTGACCCTCAGTATAAAGAGTCAGAACATCCGACGTACTATCAGCAATACCTACATCTGCTACAATCACCATGGATTATCTCAAAACTGCGCATTCTATTGTCCCTTCCTTCCATCATCGTGTTGGGAAACCGCCCATTCTCCCAGCTGTCGACGCACCCAGAACCCCTGCGAATGCTTGGGGCTTCCCTCAGCCAGGCATTCAGTCTCCTACGCCTGCGTTCGCTACTGCTAGTCATTACTTTGTCGATGACCCAACTTGGAGTGCTATTCTTGATAGGAAAATATTTGCTTCGACCATGGTTATCTGACTCTCCATAGATCATGGCGAGTTCGATGATGTCGTTGTCGGAAGTGGCTTGTGTGCATTGGCATACATCGATACAGCTCTCAAGTTGGAACCTAAAAGGAAGATTCTTGTACTCGAAAGAGGAGGTGAGGCGGTATTTGGTATTTGTACATGGACTTGTCTTATTATTTTATCTTCAAGGATTCTGGCTTCCTGAGCACTTCCAGGTCAGGCGGATTTCTATCATCCAATAGTCGCTTGTATGCTAATATTTATTATAGAATCTTCCTCTTCCCTTCAAGCTCGTTCTTGGAGGCCCTTCGGAGACCTTTCCCTGGCAGTTGAGTTCCAAAACGTTCAATAGCGAGCTCAAGGTTGGTCTAAAGTCCTTCATTTTGTAAACCGTCTAATACATTCAATAGTACATGCATGGATCTTGTCCCTTCTTTGGCGGGCGTAGCACTTTCTGGTCTGCTTGGTGCCCTCGCCCAACTCTCGAACTCATGCGGGGGTTTCCGAACACGATGCTTGAAACAGCCTCAACGGAGGAATTTTGGACGGACGCCGAAGAACTCCTTCATGTCACTCCCACAGACAAGCTTGACGATCCTGTATTCGCAAAACTTCAGAAAGATATCGATGAGAGGCTCATTGCTGGTGTAAAAGCCGGGAAAATTCAAGACGCCGACTCTGCAGAATCTGCTAGACTTGCTGTGGGCATGACTACCTCCCTCTTCAAAACCATTTTCAACAAATTCTCCACACCTGGGCCGTTGTTGAAGATCTACGAACGTCAACGTCATCTGGCGGACAAGAAGCAAGGCAGCCCTCTTATGATTACCACCGACACAGTGGTTGAACGCTTTGAGGTCGATCCCGAAGATTCTGAACGTCGTGCAAACATCCTTCATACATCTCGCGGTGCCCTTTGTTTCCCTCAAGGCAAGACGAATATCATTCTCGCAACAGGCGCCATACCCGCCACTACCATCTTAATGAACTCCCTCGGAGATGATCTCAGAGATCGTGCTGGGGCGCGCCTCAGCGGTCACTTCCTCACTCACATTGCTGCTCGCTTCCCTATTACCGAGGAGTCTGGTGAAGACGGTTTTAAGGATCATCTTGAGATTGGAGCAACCTATGTGGCTGGCAAGGACCCCAAAACACAGCACCAATATCATATCCAGGTTACGGCTATTCACTCGCCTCATCCCGAGACGGACGCGGAAGATGCTGCGAGGTTGTGTCCCGATTATGCTGCTGCTGCCACGGAGGCACAGTTGGTGGATTCCGAGCGTCATATCGTCTTAGGTTTGTCTCACTCTCCGTTAACGTCGTTTTTTGAACTAATTGCGACAAAAACAAACAATCTTCAATCAGTGTGCGCGACGTTGGGAGAACTATCCGAGAAGAACCCGCATTCTTGGGTAAAGCAAAACCTGAAGAACCCGGATGTGACTACAAACATTCGTCTGCAAGTTGATGTAGCTCAGGAGGACAAGGAGCTCTGGGATATCATGGACAAAGCTACGTACGTTGTTTACACCAACTTCGTGAGCGATGAGTGTAATTCAAATGTACATCCACAGATATGATGCGATCCAAGTCATGGCAGATGATAGGGCTGCTGATCTTGAGTACTGGCACGATTCGTCCGCTAGTTGGAAGAAAGAACGACCAAAAGAAGAGAGTATTCATATCCCAGGCGTAGTTCATGAAAGTTCGACCCTCTACATGAGTGACGACCTGGATGTAGATAAACAAGCGTCGGTCGGCCCAGGATATAACCCCAGAGGTTGCAATAACGTTTATGTGACTGGTGGTGCACTGTTCCCTTCCTCTGGATCATGGAATCGTGAGTGGCCTGTTCAGTATCATGTTTTAGCCTCTTTGCTAATCACCTATCCTTATAGCCACCCTTACAATGTGCGGATATGCACAAGACTTGGCCAAGAGATTGGTCGGAATCCCTAAACAGTCTTCAAGGAAATAACGATTGCGATGTTGGTATGGATTTGTATGAATTCTGTTGGTTACTGCGCTCTATGCACAACCCTCAAAATTTGTAACAAATCTGCCCACTTCGAATGAGACTGTTTTATGTCGTTCTCTCATAGATTTGTGCTTGGAAATCCTGTCACCACCTAGCGCGCTCCCGTGGTGAAAAGAACAGAGTCAAGATGACAGACAAACGAAGTTTTACTTGACCAAGTTTGGGAGTACCTTATCACTATCGGAAGTAAGGTCTTCGTCCAACACAATGATTGACTGTGGATCACAACACGTACGTTGCATGTCCCAATGCTCGCAGGACATAAACACATTGAGAAGCGAAACCCTCAGGTCAGTGCAGATCTTACTATTCAAGAGATCGAATCGACGCCGTCCTGATTAATCCTTTGCAATCCCATTGGTCTTCAAGGCCGTCGGAATCCATGAAGCATGGTCATTAGTTCGACGAGGTGAAAGGTGAATGTGGTCGGAATCAATCAGCCAGACTATTGAGGGAGAGCATGCCGGCAAGTCGGCACGGACACATCTGGAAGGCTAGCAGGTGATATCATAGTCATATATTATCTCGAAGCATCAGACAGATACAAAAGACAGTATAAACCTTACTCTTGCCCAACAGCCACATTAAACACTTTTTGGACTAACGCAGCAGCAGGGTCCGTCGAGCCCTCCAATCTCGCAAACGATACCGTCGACACCGTCGTCGAGAACGTGCGCAAATACGGCGAATACTAAAAAAATCCCAGATCAGCACAACCCACAAACAAACAAAGGAAAGGGGAACCACATACCACTCTGCAGAAATGCCGATACCATCCCCAAGTCTCCCAGGCATTCCACTCTTCCTTGCCCCAGTTAGCCCGGTTGTGCCATGCCTTTTCCGTGATGACGTCGGGGTTCGAAGTATCAGGAGGGACCAAGTACGACGTGAAACCCTCCAACGTTCGCGACAATATGGATTTCTGCTCTTTGGTCAAGGTCGAAAATGCTTTAATGGCGCTCGTGAGCGCAGGATTTTCAGGCATCTCATCTGCGAACACAACCAATCAATAACTGAGATCACACAAGCAAAAGAAGAGAAGGTACTCTTTTTGGCTTCAGCATCGACCTCCATACCGGCCCCATCTTCAGCAATGGCCCTAGCTCGCGTATCATCGTCTTCCTTCCTCAGCACAGTCAACTTCTTCCTCGCGATGCTCACCCTCCCATTTCCCTTATCCAACGCACCCTTTAGCAAATCCCACTGCAGTACGCCTAGCGCCAACGGACTACCCAACACATCATCCTCCGCTCCATGTTCAAACGTCCACGCCACCACGTCCGTTGGATCCACAATTTGATACTGCATCAGTTTGTCAAATACTATGACCACCATCTGCGAGTTGTGCTTCCAGAAACGGGCTACGGCGTTCATAACGTCCGTTTTAGCTTCTACGTTTCCGGTAGCACCGCTGTTGACGATGTGTCGGAGCAAGGGGAGGTAGCGCTCTATAGCGTTCAAAAGGTGAGAGAAAGAGCGAGAACCGATGTGCAACAGCGATTGAATGGTGATGGAGCGAACGATTGTGTCGGTATTTACATGTCCGTCTTCTGACGCCTCAACCAAGGACTTGAGTGCGTCGAGGTGAGAGATAACATCTTCCGCATTTGCCCTCCCTCTAAACAGATTCAGCACTGATTGTGCGTTGTCATGATGGGGATTGACTGACAGTTTCGTCATTAAAAATAATCCAAATCAATGAGCATAGTCTTACTAGGATCGTCGAACTCGAAAGTGGGCCCCGGCGCCTGTTTAGGTAGAACATACGCCTCGGGATCTTGCATAGGTTCTGGCAGTGTCTTTGCGATACGTTCGTAGTAGGCCAATCGAATTTCGTACTCCAAAGCACGGCGCATAAACGCACGCCGGGGGTTCTGAGTCACCAAGGCAAGGTCGGGAAGCCTACAAGGACGCCATCAAAATCACATTTAGTGAACAGAAAAGAAGACAGCGGACCATTCCTTCCACACCCATTGGAAACCAAAGTTACTCATATGCACAGCAAACCATTCGGAGAACCGCCGAGCTATGTCCAAATCCAACCCGTCGCTCAGATATCCGTACAATTTACGGATCGATTTTCCGACGGCGGGGCCCACGGTCGAAGGGGACAGTTTACAAAGTTCCGTGATGACGCTTATGTAGTAGATGGACTTTTGTGATGATTCAGGGAGAATGAAGAAAGCTCCAAGGATGGTCTGGAAAAAAATTGGTTAGTCGCAGGCGAGACGATGGCCAAGACACATTTTACCTCAATAATTGTACTCTCTAGTTGCCAGCCTCTTCCTGGTACGGGCTCGATATCGACAACGGGAGCTCCAGGTTTTGGCTTGAAGGTTCCCGGAAGCGTCCATTTGGGGTACTCAAGAAGGATTCGTGCGCACTCCTTCCGATTGACTTCAAATATATCGAGTATCGATACGAGGTCAGTGCGAACAGCGTAACCTTCTGGCGTGTTAAAGTCAGGAGAGATCTAGATTCAAGAGCTCAGCAACATATGACGAGAAAAAGAGAAAACAAGAGAACACACGTCATTTTCGAATAAACGGATAAAGTATTCAGGCCATTCTTCCTTTTTGATTGGTGCGTCGTCTCCCATTTCGTTTTCTAGCTCGATAACTTCTGGGGGGACGAGGACAGAAGGAAGAGCAAAGGGGGTGAAGGACTCCAGATCAAGAACTGGGAAATCAGCATATGGACGAGGAAATGAGGTCAATGATTCTGCATATCCCGATTTTTCGAGAGCTCCGAGAGACGCTAGCAGGATATCTAAGAGCTGTTACAAGGTGAGAAAAGGAAGGATGAACATGATCTCCGTACTCACCTCATCCGCATTGTCAGTGATGACGCCTGTCGAAGGTAAAGCCATCATTGGATGAACAATCCATTTTGCGCTTGTCGTAGTTTCGTTGAATGCCGCGATAGCATTGACAATGTCCGTGGCATTGGAGGCGTGATTCGTCTTGATAATAGAGCCAGCAATCATCAACCCCTCAGCAGCACACAAAGCAGCGCGCTTCGCCCGTCCATGGGAAACACCGAATTCGTCGAGAACGGCAGTGAGAGATTGAAGAAGACCAACGAGTGAGTCTATCGATACCAAGTTTGCTAGCGTCAGATGGGCGAAGAAATGTATCTGGGCAAATGATAAGCGTAAGGTTATTGGCATATGCACAGCGGTAACGCACGCAGAACCGAGTTTCTCTCCATGAAAGCTGATCAACATATGTCTGGAATCCTTTCCATATATCTTCAAGAATTTGACGTCCCAACGAGGGTTCTCCGTCTGGCTGTTCGTGTAGGAGTCGCAGCAAGGCAGCATAGTATGGGATTTTGTACGGCTGCTCCGTCACCCTAAGCAATGATGAGCTGGGTCGAAAAAGAGAACGAGGACGCGTCAAACGCACCCTATCCGAAAGGCCTCTGATAGACTAGGGATGACAGGAGGAACGAGAGCACGAATCTGCTTTTCTAGGTGGGGCAGTTCCTCGACCGGATCCTACAGCGCAACAGTTACAGCCGAACAGTGAAGCTTCGCAGGGCGACTCACCACCTCTCCAAGCTTGAAAATCGCGGATTTGAGCTTGTCTTGAGGAGATTCGATGACCTCGCGTCGGTCGTAGTCGTCTGGAAGAAAGATTCGGATGGCTAGAAATTTGGCAAAGTTGCAGTAATCTCACCTCTATACCGTCGGCGTCCACGGTAGCTCATCGTCACGTACAACGGGTTCAATAATTGACAGAAGACTATTGTCCTGGCAGGCCTATCGAGCTCAATTCAAGTATTTTTCAGATGTACTGGCCGTCACCGTGATGGTCGACGAGCAGGAATGCTGACTCATCACATACCTTTTCGGATTACTGCCCCTATCTTCGATCCAGTTTCCATAGTTTCATTCATTGTTTTGCATTCATGGCTGATTCCCTTCAACCACGACCATCGTTAGCCCCTCACATCGACCGCGTTGAACCGATAGCCATATTCCACCCGATTCGTAATGCGTTTTTGGTACTAGGTCGTCGCCAGAAAATTCTCGAGGCTGGCGTCGTGCAATGGGGAATTCCTCATTCGTTCGTTCTCGACGCGTGCCTTGTCCTTGCTGGCAAGGGATATTTGTCTTCTACTTCTGACCATGCAAACAAGATTTCTACACCGATGGATGGATTTCTTATGGGTCTACGGTACTTCTTCTTTCTGGAGGATGATAACGTGCCTACCGACTACCTGCTATGCACAAATTTCTCCGATTGGGAGCCACTCCCCCGGCAGGACGTCCCAGAACGATGGCTCATGATGGACAAACTCAAGACACCCAGCACAGGCCTAGAAGACATGGTTCTAGAGACGTCATGCAACAAAATCTGTAATCATGTCAAAGGGATTGACAAGTTTTGTGCGCTCTCGGGTTTTGATCAAGAACTTCGAGCGGTGCATCTAGTTCCACAGGCCTATGTGGAATGGGTTCATTTTTGCCTCTTCTTCCTCTTACACATTTTCTAATCCAACGTGTGCATTTGTATAGTATAACGAACATATACTCCACACGTATTTCACTTTTGGTCTACCTCTTGACCAACGCAAGGCCCGCCCCATCGATGACGTCTGCCAAATAATCAGTTTGGAATCGGGCCTCCACGACTGCATAGATCAACCTTCATTCATCATCTTTCCGTTCTGCGGCAAATTCGTAGCATTCTTTTTTGCTTCAAGCACGATTGGGTTGGCAGAGCCTTACCACCTGCGTACTATGAAGATACCCTTTCGTATTGAGGGATATGCACTGTTTGCCTGTTTTGCATGGGCTATCACGACCATCACTCAGCACAGACCAACACAAACACCCCAGAAAAGGAGGAGGAAGCAGGAGAGTGATAGATCTGCAAGCTCCTCTGATCAATCACCGCCAAGTCAAAGGCATAGATGTGAGGGAGACAGTCATGTAAGCCAACCAGGAGATCATGGGCAGAGTTACCATGGTGGCCAGTCAAGTGAACCCGGTTCCTCTGGGCCTGTTGATATTGAGCTCCTAAAGGAGCAGGAGCGCGAGCTGACCCCCAGTCAGCTTCGAATTTTTCGTGAGGCAGAAGGTGAATGTGTTGGCTTGTTGAATGCATCTCATGGTGATTGATCGTCTTCAGAGGGAATCAGACCCTTTCCATCGTACATGTATGATATAATGGACTATTATCCAGGTATGAGTCGTGTCGAGGAAATGAAACGACAATATCTTGCAGATCACCTGACTATTTCAGTGACAGGGGAGTCCACGACGAGAGGGGATTGATGTCATTTTCTGCTGTCCAGTTTTACTTTCAGTTCTATGCTTAGTACTTGTACGAATCCTGTAATTTTTTTTCCTCTCGATCATCGATGTCAGAATGATAAACCAAAGACACTGCTCCATGATGCAGCTATTCTGCAATGTCGTTCAGTAGGCAAAACAGGAGGTATGATGCTTGGAGTACATAACTAAAAGGAAAGGCAGTTATTTTGTATAGTTTCTAATAAATGCTTCCGCATTTAATTTGATATTTTTTGCCAAGGTCATAATAACTCCTGAAAGGCCGTGAGACAGGCAATAATCAATTATACCCAGCAACGACAAGACCCCACTGATAACTAATAAAACAAACTTCCTTTCCTCCCATTGGTGTTCAGTGGTCAATCAATTGCAAAGTGTCCGGTCTCAAACTAGTTGGTGAGGGCCAATGCACCTATGTGGCAGGTCCAAGTCCTATGTTTTTTTTTGTTTTACAAAAAAATAAAAGAAAAATGTAACAACAATAATTAAATTCATGGACTAATAACTATAACAGATGTGTATGAAAATACACTGCATCAGACTTGTCTATACCACTTTGCATCCCCAAAGGTTACACACAACTCAGTCTTTGTAGTGCTGGAGCTCTCAGACCATGGAGCTCAGATAATGGAGGCTCCAGCAGTCCTTGATATGCCACATTCCAATACACTTGGAGTTGGCACAGGTGATGCTTCCGCATGTTCTTGGCAGGGTGTTGAGGATGGAGGATGGTGGGCAGTGGGAGGGGTGAGTGAAGAGCACACAAGCCTTGCCTATGTGGGTGATAAGCCATGACAGAATAAGAAGAAAATAGGAATAGTACTCACCGTTCTTCCTAGCTTCTAAGATGATGGTGAATGGTGGGACATAGCTGACCTCTTTGTTGAGAAGGAGGGCATGGATGCAGAGGTCAACTTAGTAGAAGCAAGGGTTATGACCATGTACTTTGGCGGCAACTTGATAGACTATACAACACTTGAGTTCAGTTGGAGAATCAGCAGAGCAAGGATTACACACATTTCATCTTGTGTTCTTCCTTCATCCATTTATCAGCACTCAGCTCTACCCAGTAAGCCATCACAGTATCCTCGAGTTCCTTATCCCAGTCTGCATATAATCAGAATATTGCTGCTGCAAAATTGTGTATGTTCCGGAAAACCAGCATATGGTGCATCTAGTATACAGGGGTTGAGTCAACCATGATAAGAAGACATGGAAATGATGCGCCAGCCCTAGGATCGTGATATTAGTCCAACTCTCTGTATTCTCATACTGCCCCATATAAGCCCACAGCTCCTTTGTCACGTACATGTGGACCTTAAAATCTGCGAGGCTCATAGGCAAGAGGCAAGAGACAATGCATATCAACAGTTCAAAAAAAGAAGTTCTCTGACATGAAAGGTTTGCCAGTCTTCCATGCAATGGTCCTCTGCCAGTTCTTCATGTTTGCAATCTCATGGTACCACCACTGGAAGGGCAAGAATCCGTGTCACTCAATTGGTGATATTTTCCTTCTGGAATAACACATCAAGGAATAGACCTGAAGCAGAGCACATATATGCATCTCGGTCAGGTAATCTTGTCATGTCAGCACATCTGGCAGAAAATTGATGGGCTGGAGAGATCATCAATGCAAACAACCAGATAGACAATAGCGCAGAGATGGTGGATAGAGAGATTCAGGATTCAGGATCATAAACAGAATCTAAGCAAAAGCAGAAGAGATTTTCAAGCAGAAAACAATGAGAATGAATAGAGAAGGTCCCATACAGAGCTCAGGTCACAGGTTTGGCAATGGCCATCAATGAATAGAAATATAATTGAGCATCAATTGGGAAAGAACGGATGGACAGATGGGAAAAGACAGGAATAATGAGAGTAGAGAATGCAAATGAATAGAAAAGGTTTCCATGATGAGCTCAGGCAGATGGCAATTACCATGGATGAATAGAAATATTCCCAGTTTGCTCAGATAGCAAAGTTGGCAAATGTCGTGATGGATTGATATCCCAAATAGATTTTTTCTCATGATTAGTTCAGGACAGCATAATAACTAGTTGGGTGAGGGCCATTGCATTTGCATGGCAGGTCCGAATCCCATGAATTTTTTTTAATAATTTATTCCTGTTATGTTAGCAAATGAATAGTGAAGAGAGACTTTGACAGACAAAGCCCAATAGGCACCGTGTTACGGTTATTCTTTTCTTTTTCTTTTCCTTTCCTTTTCTTTTCTTTTCTTTTCTTTTCTTTTCTTTAGTCAGCCAGATTACGCATGCGCGATCATCATGGACTGACTGCGCAGTCGTATTTTTAGAATACTCACGTGTATTTAAGTAGAGCCTCAGCTGGCCTGAACCCCAGCTTCGGCTAAGGTTAATTCTACCTAACATCGAACTCCGTCCTTCGTGACTATCTGTCCCATCGACTTGCGTCGCCTTTGACTTGCTAAAGCGTCGTCTACCGAAGTGCGAGTAGCGACCTTAGTACGATCTAAGTCGATTTGAGTTAGTGGCTAACATTTAGCCGAAGCTCGTCTTCAGTTGCCCAACGACTTATCGTTGCCCAACATTTTCCCTATCATTCTCTTCCTTGTGGTAGCACTCTCCGTGCTACAATTCCTCCTGAACGACCCTCTAGGATTGGTGGTCGCAACCATCCTTCGAGTGTTCCTCACTTGCGTATACGTCCCATCCCTGGTGTTTGCAGGACTCCTCCTGCTACTCTGGGTCGGATTTCTACGCCATTTCTAAAAACATTAAACCCTTCATTCTTGCTCTTCAGCTCGCCTCTCTATTAACAATCGCATTGTTGATAGTAACGAGCTCTCCATCCGACGAAACCTGTGAAATCCAGTTAATGAACGGATCCAATTACGAGACCGACCTTAGCCTGATTATCGCGCTTCTCATTGTCCTCACCATCCTCGCTGTGTATCAGCTTGCATGGTCGATCGTAGACTTACGCCAAGGATAGATCCAATTACGGATGCCCTGGTCCGAGTCCACTCTCGCCATCTTCGCAACTTTTACACTCTTTTTCTTGTCCATTATTTTGTACCGACTACACCGCTGTTGTCGACAACAGAGGCGAGTCCGCGCACAACTCCCGTTCCACTACGTTCCCAGCACCCCGGCGTATCCACCGCCGGTAATCGACATTCCCTCGGCATCCCAGCAGACAATAGGAGATGTCGAATCCAACAACTCTGGGGGATCTGGAAGATCCCTCTACACATCGTCGCGACCCAGCTCGCGATCCTCAGAGTCGAGCACCGACTCCTACAGAAGCGCCTCCAGCGCAGCAGCCGATTCCATCAACATCACCGATACCCGGGGGGTACTCCTCGACCGAGGAGACTCGCCCTTACCAGGTCTCTTCGACCAGTCTCCAGTCTAAGGCGAGTCTGGCGATGGCAGAGGCCGAGGACAAGACACCAGGCATCTGGTCGAGGGCGAAGAAGAGGTTGATACCGAGTTCGAAGGGGACGAGCTCACCGAGTGGGAAGGAACCCGACTCAACGACCTCCTCAACGACCTCTACCCGAACGAGGAGGAAGATGCCGCCCATCGTAGAGACTATTACAGCGGCAGGAGGAGAACAGACGCTCTCTGGCAGAGCGAAAGCAGACGATACCGAGTCGCCCAGAAGGACGACTTCGACAGTGATTCCGGAGAGCTTGGCCTCGGAGCCTCCGCGGCTTCCACCAGTACAGCTCAGCCACAGTCTCTTCCAAGGTCCTGGCCAACCGATAGGGGGGAACCCGTTGGCTGGCACCCAGCCACCAGCTGGGTCTACGCCGACCGGCGGGAAGAGACTCCTATGGCCAGAGTCGCGCCCGGAGGAGAGCCCGACCAGGTCCTTACGGGGCCCGAGACCACTCCGATCTCTCCCGCCGTCCCCGCACACAAGCCGACGAATGGGGAGCTTTGGGGCGAGTTCCCAGATTACAACCCCGACGAACTTGGAACGGTTACCGCTTCCGAGCGAGTCGCCGGAGTCTCCAATTGGGAGCCGTCAGTCGCATCGAGAGCCTTCGCCGACCCCGTCCCTCTTTCTCAGCGGCCATGGCCGCTCCTCTATCACACGTATGTCGAGTCCCTCGGACTCCATGGAGCTGCCCGGGAGTCCCCAGAAATTGAGGCCAGAATGGACAGAGGAAGAGCGCACGATGCACGCATCCGACGCGCAGAGGAAGACGCCCTCCAAGGACCAGGAGGCTGGTGGGATCTCCCCCTCGAACCCGACGCCACGCCAATCGAGGTCGATAACCGGATACGAGCCGCTGCCGTTCGATACTCCGGAGCCGCTAGAAGGGCAGGCGTTGACCTCGAGGCTAGAACAAGGGCCTGGAACTCCTACCAGGCCGAAATCAGCAATCCAGATTCCGACATCGGAAGGTGGAGAAGAAACCGGGAGATCGACCGCCTCGCCCGAGAGAGGCAGGAGGCAAAGGATGCCGAGTCGTCCTCCCAACCAGGCGCTCGAACCGACCGTGATGGCGGCGGTGACGCAGGTCATGCTCCGGGGCCCAGTTCCCCGACCTGATATTTTTAACATCCTCCCTTGGCACGGGCTATATGAAATCATCATGGAGCACATGGAGAAGGATCCCCAGTGGCTATTCATGGAAGCCGGGGAGGACTATCAAGCAGCGAAGAGCATGGGGGACGTGTACCTCATGAAAAATATACTCGAAGTAGAAACCTGGCACCGGGCGGCCATCATATGGAATATGGTGAACCCCGAGATGCCTCAACGAGGGTGTGAACCCTATCGGCGACCACAGCCGATGCCCAACCCACTCGAAACTGAAGAGTTCTGGGCTGGGGCCGGGCCCGATGATGACGATATGGACGACCAAGGCGCTGGACCTTCGGACAAGGGAAAACAGTCCACCGTCCCGCCTCAACCACCGTCCCAGCCTCCACGACGACCCGTATACCCGGGCGACTACCCTCCCCCCGGGGACAACTACTGACTACGGTCACTTCCGCGACCACCTAATCCCCCAGTACCGCCTCAGATGCCATCGCCTCCAGATCCGATTCCCCCATGGACGTTAGCTGCGGGGAAAGACAATAACCCATGGAACGACGTCAAACCTAAACTTATCACGCAGCCGGAGTACTTCACAGGGGAATCCGAGGATATCAATCGATTCCTCCACCACTGTGAAATGTACTTTCAGGTATTCCCGTTGCATTTCACGATGAACGATCAAGGACAAAACCCCTACCGCATCACTTTCGCGCAAGGGTACTTACGGGAGAAGGCAAAGCAGTGGTGGGGCGATCAGTACTATCGCTACCAGGACGAACAGGGACACTGGAGGTTCCCCACTTGGGCAGAATTCTCCCGTGACCTCACACAAGAATTCCGAGAAGTGGCGGAAGTCGCCATATGGAAGGCCGAATGGAAGAAGGTTTGACAATCGGAGTTTAAGTCCGCAGTCGAATTCTTCACCAAGTTTGAGCGTCTAGCCCATAAGTGCGGAGAGTTCGGAGACGAGAAGCAAATGTTTGAAGCGGTCGAAGCGGCGATTAGGCCGACGGTGCGGAAGACGGTTATGCATGGGGACAATGAGCGCCCCACAACCTACGCACAATGGAAGGCGCGAGTTCTTCGGATCGACGCCAATTATCGGTACGACGTGGCCCAAGGCCTCGCCAGTAAGACCTCCCCGAACCAAGGCGGCTCGGGTCGAGGCAACCAATCGAAGGGTTCGGGTTCCGGTGGCGATAAGAAGGACGCCACAGGGACCACATATGGGGGTGCCGGGCAGCCGATGGAAATCGACAAATTACGGTCCGACAAACGATGCTTCAAGTGTGGGAACACTGGGTGGAGCCCGAAGCATAAATGCCCCGACGACAAATCTAAATGGCTCCCCGTCAAACTCCCCCCTCGTAAAAAGCCCAACGTCGCCCGCCTCCGTCAACTACTCGCTGAAGCCGAAAAGGAGGATTTAGGAAAGGATACCAAGATCGAGGAGGTCAAGGATGACAAGGAGAAGTCGTCAAAAGACGAGCCGGCGTCAAAATAAGCGATTCGACGGCGTCGGCTAAGGACTTAGTTTCT